GAAACAAGTCAGAAGTTGGTACCAGAGACTAGGGTATTGCTTTGATAGGCCTGATGCTTTTGTTTGGAAGAATGCGGACTTTGGGATTTTGGATTAGGAAAGCAGTTGAATGCTTCAAGTGGAGCTTAATAAAACACACTAATAGGAGCATGGGAGACAGTGGTGCTGAGGGTGATCTGAACTGTGGGGGCCTGGCTCAGGAGGTCTCAGAGAAGACTTTTAGTTATGTGGCCTAGAGGCAATTCCTGTGATATTCTGGCAAAGAATGTGGCTGCTTTTTGCCCTTCTTCAAAAAATCTGCCAGAGGCTAAATTAAAGCTTTTTGGATTAACAACTTTGTCAGAAAAGATTTCTAGATAGCTTGGTATTGGATATGTTGCTTGATTATTAGTGGCCATGCTTATGCAGCTCTATAATGAAAAGGAGCAAGCCAGGAAGCCACACTCCTCCATGGTCTCTACATCAGCTCCTGCTCCCAGGTTCCTTCCCTGTTTGAGTTCTTGTCCTGGCTTCCTTCAGTGATGAACTACAGTGTCGAAATGTAACCCTTTCTTCCCCAACTTGCTTTGGTCATGGTGTTTCATCACAGCAACAGAAACCCTAACTAAGACACTTGTGTATCCATCTCCTAATGTAGACAGGGCTGGTCTTACCAAATAGGAGTTCCTCCACATACAATATGAATTGATTGAGAGGGGAAAAGTGCAGCCATTTATCTGAAAATGTTCCCCTCCATTGGTGGTAACTAAATATCTTTATACTCAAATCTTTATATATTGTCTTAAAATATTAATGACTTCAAAGAGGTCAAGCGTACCTATCAGATGGAACATTTCTCTCTATGCTTTGACAAGGTATCCTCAGTTCAATGAATTCCCCCACCCCAGTTCAGGGAAAGGATGAAGTCCATAGAAATCTTAGCTTTTTCCTTATGGATTCCTCTTACTAGTTTAGCAATAGCAGATGGTCAAGCCCGAGAAGAGAAAATAGGAACTGGCCATGTTTACACTTTTCCTCCTACCATCTCTTATAACAATCTAACTCATTAGAATTAGAGTCCAGTTCTCCAGCAGATGAGATAGGAGGTGAGGTTCTCCTCAGCCCTGTGTCTTCCAAACTCCCAAATCTATGTTACTAGTAACCCAGCGGTCCTTTTCATACCTTTATGATTACATTCATCAGGACGAATCATTTGTGATTGTAACTACACATAAATGTCTAGAACCCCACAGATGAGTAGCTTTGAGATTCCAGTCTCTTCCCACTGATGTTTAACTGGGCTTATTTATATGAAGGGTACATAATGTAGGAACGCCATGAAGAAATAGCCTCCCTCAGAGAGGTAGCATAAGGTGGCTAATGGCATGCATGCTTGCATGATTACTTTGCTAATTTTTTGTGCTCTCAGTTTCTCATCTATGACATCAGTGTATAACTCTGTGAGTCAACTGCTGGTTTGTCTGTGAGTCCATCTCTGTGTTTTTCTATTCTCTTGGGAGAGTTTATTTCCCTGGACCTCTTGTCACATGACCCCTTATGTTGAGGAATAGTATTTTAAGGTGTGCTACTTTTGTTTATGATGCACTTGTTTAACTCTGTGAAGCTGTGTTACTGTGCCCATCTAAAATACCTGATGGTCTAATAAAGAACTGAATGGCTAATGTTAAGGCAGGAGAAAAGATAGGTGGGGCTGGCAGGCAGAGAGAATATATAGGAGAAATCTGGGAGGAAAAAGGAAGGAGAAGTAACCAGAAAAGGAGGAGGGCTCCAGGGACCAGCCACCCAGCTACATAGCAAGCCATGGAGTAAGAAGAGTAAGATTTACAGAAGTAAGAGAACTGGAAAAGCCCAGAGGCAAAAGATAGCTGGGATAATTTAAGTTAAGGAAAGCTGGCAAGAAACAAGCCAAGCTAAGGCCGGGAATTTATAATTAAGAATAAGCCTCTGTGTATGATTTATTTGGGAGCTGGGTGGTGGGTCCCCAAAGGAGCAAAAACAAACACCACCACCCTTATATAGGGTTAGCCAATAGGAAATCTTGACAGAAGGTAGGAGGGCAACAGAAAGGGAGGGCCAGATCTGTGGCCATACCATCCTGAGAATGCCTGATCTCATAAGCTAAGTAGGATTGGGTCTGGTTAAGACTTGGATAGGAGGAAGAGAGATGGCAGGCATCCCTTCTTGTTCTTGTGGTGTTCTGGCTGTAGTCTCCACCAGTGCCTACCAAACAGCCCTCCTCCATGGTCTCAATTCCTATGTGATGTCTTCATGGCAGTTGTGGTTGATTTTGGTTGGTCCCAGCTTTTGGGCACTACAGACTTTATCTTCTCTCATTGTCTGTCTAGCCTCAGGACTGAGGGCATCTTCTTGGTTTGCTACTCTCTGAGCTGCCTCACAGCTTCAGGTCTCTCAGTATTTCTGTCACATACACAACTGTATTCAGTGCTCTGTATTAGAAAGACATAAAGAGGTTTCTATTTTCCTGAAGGTAACTGAATAATTATTAAAGATAACAAATCCACAAGGAGGACTAAGCTAAGGTATGGAAATGTTTAATATTGTTCCAGAACACGGCAAGTGTCTAGTAGATAGCAAATGTCAACACTGACCTTCCTCATCAATGTTTCAGAGAGTATTGTGCATGGATATTTTTTTCTTTTAATCTTAGTGGTTAAAATATGACATCACTTAGAGAAATCTGAAATGGTCACATCTGCTAGGAAAGACTACTGAGCATATCTAGCTCATATGCAGCCTCCAGTTTCCATAGAAACCAAGCAGAGAAAATTTATTAAAGGAAGCCTAGAAAATAGGTAGATTCAGGTCTGTATGATTATTTCTCAAACCCTTTAGCACACAAGCAGGCTGCTATTACTGTTATCTTATTGTTTACCTAATATCCTTTTCTTTTGTAAGATGCAACAGACCCAGGGTTTTTTCCTATGGGGAAGATGACACAAAGTGTAGGATTTCTTTGCCACAGCATAGTCCCTATCACAGCCCCAGTAGCAGTGATTCCAGGGCTACTATCATTGTGCTTATCTGTCACGTAGCTGGATAAATCCACCTCATTATCTTGTGACTGTTCAAATGTTGTTTATTGTTTTCTGTTAAGATCCAAGAACAGAAAACCTAAAATATTATGTTAAGCAAGATTCTTGACTGCAGGGGGACCAATTGAAATCCCAATTACCATCCTGGCTGTGAGAGCTCAGCTGGACTGGAAAATATTAAATTTCTCTGTGTTGGAGTGGAGAAGCAGGAAGGATTCTTGGGTCATTTGATTACAAGCCAAATCCTCAAAATCCCTCTTTAGCCATCAGGGCTGGTGGCAGTAACAAGGGAGACAGCTCTGAGTCAGATCTGGCAGAATTTGAATCAATAACCAGGCAATCTTGCTCAATTTCCAAGCAATTTTAAATCTTTCTCTTTCAAATGCCTTGAGGAGGAAGAGATTGAGGGAATGGGAGGGAAATGCAAACATCTAGAATAGCAAGGTGAACTTCACTGTTCTGTCAAAAGATTCTTATGTGTCCCCAGAGGTATTCTCAGGACACAGGAAGGCTGTGTTGTCCTGGGCACCAGCAGAAGGACCCTCTGCCTCCACAACAGCCTTCCTTGAGCGGTATGTACGGCTAAGTGCATGCTTAGCTTAGCTGGTTAGAGCACAGAGAAAATAAAACACAGGCAATAAGGACTTCAGGGCTTGTGACTGGCTTTCAACCTGGGGGGCAGAATGGGAGAGTAGACAGAGCTGTGGGCTTGCTGTCAGAGGCTCTGGGACAACCTCGCTGCTGTCACTTTCAAGCTGCGTGACCCTGAATAAATCACTTCATTCATTTGTTTATTTTTCACGAGTGACTTGGGATGGAGTGCGTGGCTCAGCACAAATATTGGCAGAAATCAGAAGGGCTTGCTTGGCGAGCACACGGTGCTCACACAAACGTCGGCACACTGGTGAGACAGCATTGAGAAGGTACTACTGCATCAAAGACGTGTGTCAACAGCCCAGGAAACCCTTTCCTTGGGAGCTGCCTAAGGAAGAGGGTGAGAGGGAGCTGATTTCTTTTCCTTTTTTTCAATGGCAGTGAAGGGAAGTCTAAGGCAGAACCACAAAATCTGTCCCTCCTGTGTGGCCTCTCCGCAGCCCCCACTAGGCTGGGTTGCTATTGGCTATCTTTAATTGTTCTAGGATGACTTTTTTTGTCCATGCTTTCTGGAGTTACAGATAAGAATGCTGGATGTAGCTGGAGTCTTTGAAGGCATCCAGCAGTTTCTCTGTGCTCCTCGTTCCTAACAGTAACCTAAACGCCAAATGCTCTCTCACTGGACTGTTGTTTTTCTCAAGAAAGATGTCTGCTTTATGATTGAGTTAAAAATATAGAACTTCACATAGAATTCAGGAGTGAAGACTCCATCAGGCTGACCTTGGTTGCCATGACATCCAGACGGCCATTTAACCCACTCCAAGAGGAGTCAGCTCAAAGGGGGCAGAGGTAAATCTCAAATGTGCTATCATTTATGTTCCTTCATGGTGAAGATCTCTACAATTGCCGGTGAGCTAATCCTCCCAACAGGCCTGAGCTGGCGAATCAATACTATTATCCCCTTAGTGCACAGTATTATTACCCACTTTCAGGCTCATTATCTACCAGCCAATTATTCCATCTTTAAAGTCCCATCAGTGTCATATTGGAGCAATGCCCACTTTGTGGTTGTGACTTTGTGTTATCCATGAGACACTAAAATTGCTCTGACAAGATCAAATGAGGCCAGAACTCAGGTAGGTGATATAAGAAATCCTGGGAGGCTGAATAACATCAGAGTTTAAGGAGTTTGTTCAAGGTGCCTTGGGCAGCAAGCCAGGGAACTAGACCAGTCACCTGCCTACTCGCCCAATGACCTTGAAACATCCCTTCTTTCTGAGATCCTGCTAGTGACTCTGTAGAATGGGAAACTACCCTAACTTTAGTTTTTTTGTTTTCTTTTCTCCTTTACAGAATTGTTGGGGGAAAATGAGACTATTTCTTAGAAGAAAACGCAGTGGAGAAGTGAAAGTGGCATGCATCTAAGCAACAAAAGAAAAGGAGCACCGTTCAGATCAGAGTGCAAACAGAGGAACTCAAGCATCAGTTTGGATGGATGGCTTAAAACAGTCAAGTAGAGCTGGGCATCATGGGCAGGCCTGTAAGCACATCAATCTGGTGGCAGAGGCATCTCTGTGAGTTCAAGGCCAGCCTGGTCTATATATTGATTTCCAGGACAGCAAGGACTACATAGAGAGGCCTTGTCTCAGAAACAAACAAACAAATGAAACAAAATAAAAAGAAAAAAGTTTAATCATGAAGAATTTAAGACTTATTTGTAGTCTTCCAGTGAGACAAATGGCAAGGCCTCCTGGGCAGAATCTAAGGTCATGTGACCAACTCATCTTACTTGTATTAGGCTTTCCCAGGAAATCTGATGGCTCTTTGTCTATCATCAAGTCTAGAGCCCCCTGTCCTTACTCTCTCAGGACTGAGGATGGCCATGAAAAACATGGATAGCATCCTCAGAGATGATTTACCTAAGGGTGGAGCAGAAGATTCTTCATCCACATCTGGGTGAGTGCTAGGCCCGCATAGACGGAACTACATCACCAGCCTTTTGGGGATTGAAATTTTATTTATTTATTTATTTTTGAGACAGGGTATGTAGCTCTGGCTGGCTTGGAACTTTATAGGTAGACCAAGCTGGCCTCACGTTCACAGAGGTCTGCCTGCCTCTGTCTCCCAAATTTTGGGATTGAAGGTATGCGTCACTACACCCAGTCCATGGATGTTAGAGTTCTTAATGGTCATCAAGCTCATTTTCTCTTCAAGACCATTCTGGGAGTTTCTCTTTTCAAGAAAGAAAATGAGATCTATAGTTGTTTCATAAACATATATATGATAAATATAGATATAATAAGATAAAAGGATAGATTATTGAACCTACTTTTAAAGATCAACAACTTGTTTAAAATGTTTTACATTGGTATAGATTTTAGTTTATTGGTACAAATTTAAAATTAATTTTGTTGTACTATGTATATATTTCTACTCTTGTTTAAGGAGTTATGCTTATGTAACTCATTTAAATTGTAGTGGATAATTAATAAATACAGATTAATAATTAGTCTTCTATGATAGTCAAACTTGTAACATGTTAATTAAGTTTTCTAGATATACATAGATATATTTCAGATAAATAAGTAGTCTTCAAACACTTCAAAGACCTACAATATGACATTTAAAATGTTTTAAAAATTTAGACTTTCTAGACAATGAGACATATCTGCTCCTGAAAGCACTGATTTACTTCAGAGAGGAGGATGGGCATCAAAACACTCCATATGGAGTTTATCTTCACCTTGACAAAAATAGCCATTTGTACAAGAAACTGTTCTTGCCTGGACTGCTTAATCAACTGGACATACAAAACCCATAAAAAGGTGACTACTAAACTTTGCTTGACAAAATGGTCCTTCAGGTTCCTGCTTTACAGAGAAAACTGCCAGACATTCTACAGGATACAGAGAAAAGTGACTGAGAGACTCTAGGCCTGTGGGCTAAAGACAGGTGCCCTAACTTTACAAAAAAACTTTAGATGACTGTCCAGGCTGCCAACTGTCTCTGTCTACTCTGACAAGACTCCCAAAAGTTGCTTGCGTCTGTCGCCCATTTCTCAGGTAATATTATATCCTTCTAAGGTCTTTGATGTAGTTAAAGATAGTTATAATTTTCCTTAGTTATGATAAAAAAGTTAGATGTAAAATCTTAAACTCACAAATATAAGATAGACAAATTATTTTCTTTAATTTTGCCAAATACAAATAGACTAAATATTATAACTATAATTCTTGCTGGATAATTGTTTTGTTATCTGTAATTTTACTATATAAAAGTTAAAACCCTGGTGGTGGTGGTGGAGCATGCCTTTAATCCCAGCACTTGGGAGGCAGGGCCAGGCGGATCTCTGTGAGTTCGAGGCCAGCCTGGTCTACAGAGTGAGTTCCAGGACGGGTTCCAAAACTACACAGAGAAACCCAGCCTTGAAAAACGAACAATCAATCAATCAAACAAACAAACAAAAAACCAAACAAAAAAACAAAAAAAAGTTAAAACCTTCCTTTTTCTTAAAAAAAGAAAAAGTACTATAGATATCACTCTATATAAATAAAATACTGATTGGCCAATAGCCAAACAAAAAATATAGACAAGACAAACAAACAAAAAAATTCTAAAAAATAAAAGGCTAAGACAGAGAGACACTGCCAGCCACCATAATAAAAAACAAGTTATAAGGTACCAATAAGCCACGAGCCACGTGACAACTTATAGACTAATAAAAATAGGTTAATTTAAAATATAAAAACAATTAACAAAAAGCCTGCCATGGCCATACAGTTTATAAATAATATAAGTCTCTGTATGTTTACTTGGTTGGGTCTGAGCGACTGTGGGACTGGCGGGTGAGAGAGATTTGTCCTGACCGTGGGCCAGGCAGGAAAACTTTAGCTACAATCTATGAAGAGGCTTATTACAAAATTAGGGGGTCAGAAAGTTCTCTGTCAATAGCAGCCTATTTCCTTGGGTTGCCAACCTCTGCTTTTAGATAACTCTTGTGGTGAGTAGGAGGGAGATACAGAAGAATCCCTGGGAGCCAGCCTGCTAACTTGGCATGTGTAGTGACAACAAACCAAAGACCCTGACTCAAGGGTGGGAGGGAAGGACCAACAGCTGAGATGGTCCTTTGACCTCCAGGTATATACCATGGCACAGGCACACTCACACATCAGTGCACACTCACTCACTCACACATACACACACATGAATGCATACACACACAAACACACACATATACATGCACACATATGGATACACACACAAAAACAAACAAAGAAAATGGATCTTAACTTCATTACCAATTTGAGCATTGTGTATAATCACTAATATAGTCTATATTTATTTTGGAAGTTCCATATGTATATAACTTAATGTAGTCATTTGACTACTTGAGAGTACTATCTTGATCCTTCCATCATTCTCAATAAGGATTTTAGATCCAATACCCATATTGTGGATGGTGGAGCTTAGGTCAGTGAAGGCCTGTCCTGTCCTATGAGGTCAATGTGGCATTTCTGTGTGAAGCAAAAACAAACTTCCTGTGAATGTCAGCTGTTCAGGGAACATAGATTAGCTGCATAAAGGTTCTGTCCTCCTAGGTAATGAGGAGTTGCCAAAGGTGGCATCCTTTTAGGACATCAGTCTCTGGGCCTTGAGATTGCTCTTCCTCTTCAATTCCATCCTGGTAGTGAACATCCAGGGTCTCTGTTAGAGTCCATGGACTCCATCCAGTCTTGAAGCCCCTCTGAGTCTTTCTGGATAATTGTGGCTGGGGAGTTAAAGACTCCGAGTCAAAGGACATGGTAGAACTATTGTCTAGGCAATGATGGGAACCACAATGGGGTTAGGGAAAAAAAATGGGTTCTGCTGATAATCCCAAATGTCAAGTGATAACATAGAATCAGAGAGGTCATACAAGCTATCACACAAACTCTGGGTTCCCTGTGAGTAGCTGGGATGCATGTAGGTGGCCCAACCCTGGAGCTGGCCAGGGCTTGGAATCAGGACACTGACAGATGAATTCTCTTTCTCCTGCAGAGTAGCTGTTTAATGAGATAGGATCTCATGGTGTTGCTCAGGTTAGCCTCAATTTTCTGAACTCAAGTGGGCCTCCTGCACTAGCACCCACCCCCACAAGTTCTGGGACTACTGGACTATTTATGTGCCTGGCCAGAGCAATATTTTTTTCAGATGTTCAAACCAAAATCTATAAGATTGAAATCATATTGAAAATGGTTATGAAAATGTTTTTAAAACCTGCAACTATATGATATAATAATGTGTGCTTAACGTTATTTATCTTTGCGTATTGTGAATTGAATTTAGAATGCTAAGCATGTACTCTATCACTGAGTTGATCTTAGCCGGTATCTCTATCTATCTATCTATCTATCTATCTATCTATCTATCTATCTATCTATCTATCTATCTATCTATCTTTTTTTCAGAGCTGAGGACCGAACCCAGGGCCTTGCACTTGCTAGGTAAGCACTCTACCACTGAGCTAAGTCCCCAAACCCTATTTATTTATTTATTTATTTATTTATTTATTTATTTTTAACATTTTAGAGTGGTTAGATAAAATACTAGGTCTAGGAATGGTATTATAGTTTAGTGGGTAGAATGTATCCTTAACCTGTATGAGTGATGGATTCAAGTCCCAGCTCCGTATATGCTGGGTATGGTGGTACACAGCTGTAATCCTAGCACTTGAGGAAGTAGAAGGTTAAGTTTAAAGTCACCCTCAGCTACCCAGAAAATTTAAGCCCAATGTAGGTTTTGTGAGACCTTTTACGAAAAATGACAAAAATGAATGCTTTAGCAATTGTTCTAATTTTGAAGAATGAGTTTAAGTGTCATCTTAAGACATGTGGCAACTGAGGATGTCTGAGAATTCTGTTGGTAAAAATGTCACAGTTCTTGTGGTTGGTTGTCTTCATTCATAACCAAAGAAAATATCAATCTTTAATTGCAACAGAGGTTGTCAGAATTTTTCTGTAAAGGGCCTGATCATAAACAGTTTGGGTTTCATGAGTCATATGGTCTCTGCTAACAAATATTCAGCTCTTTTGACACATGTGAAAGCAGCCACAGATAAGATGTAAATGAATGAGCATAGCTATATTTTAATAAAGTTTTATTATGAACAGTCAAATTTGAATTTCATATAATTTTCACATGTCCTGAAATACTATTCTTTTTTTTTGATTATGTTTTCCATCCATTTGAAAATGTAAAAAAATATTCATGGCTCACAGGCTAAGAAAAAAAATAGGTGCAGAGGAGCCAGATTTGGTTTGTGGGCCATAGTGTACTGACCAATGAGTCAGAGTGAGTCAGAATAATGGTGCAATCTTTAGATATCATCTAGGTTTTGAGAGATGTGGTCCCAGAGGAAATGGAGGAACTTGGTAGAATCCCAAGAGGGAAGCTCAGTCTAGCACAAGTCCAGATTCAGGGACGGCTCAGTATAGAAAATTAGGGCTGGAGGAAGGTCCAGAACTCCCAGGAGAGCTGGTAACATAGATCCTAGTTCCCACTATATGATGAGCAAAGGTCCCTGAAAAATTTATTGCTGCAGCCACAAACATTGCTCAGTTTAGTTACTGGCTTTTCTTTAGTGACCAGCATACAGCCTGACACACAGAAGGTATTCAAATGCCATATGTTAACGGAATGACTGAAAGCTATCCAAAGCTTTGTAAGTGGAATCAACAGGAGTTGAAGCTTCAGGAGATGAGGACAAAAGTTGGGAGGGGTCGTTGCCACTGGGCAATACTTCTCCCTGATTGGGGCGATGCCTGCAAATCAGAGTCCATGATTCTAAGTTCAGGCAATGTGCTGAAAGCTGGTCATAAAGACAACAGTGTGTTTTCACTATGCTCTTTCCTTTCCCCAGACACAGAAAATGTTACAAATCTTACTCTCCAGCATTCAGTAAGATCATATGACACAATTCTGTCCAATACAACATTGAAGGAAGTATTATACAATGCTTCTGGTCTTGGCTCTTGGTAAGTCTCAAATTTTTCCATTCATTTTCACTTTTCTCCATGTTCCTCATAGAATAGGGTTGAAGATACTAGATATTAGAGCCACATGATGGTAGGGGTAGGAACCCCAGACTGGCCACTGGTGGCTGAGAAGTCACCCAACTTCCCCAGACTGTGAGAAAGTTTTTAATTTGCTGAAGTTTTTTTGTTTTTGTTTTTAATTAACCTAACAGCCTACCTGAGAGTGCACTTCATTCCCAAGGTCAGAGGGAATTCACATTTCTTAAAAAGAAGCATTCTTCGAGTTCTCTAGACATAGGCCCCAATGTGTGAATTAAAGTA